AGATTCATATATCCACTTTCTCCATCACACCTGTACTTGAATATCTCAGAGCATGGAAGAACTGACACACCCCAAATGGAACATTTGATTTCTAGAAATAAGTGCCTTGCTCTAAATTGTAACCCTCATCCCTTTGCCTGTCTACCTCAGTGAATGCCACCGCACGACCGGCCCGAGGGCGAGTACCAGGTGGGCCGGCCCGAGGGCGAACACCAGGTGGGCCGGCCTGGGGCCCTGCCCCTGAGCCCCCGCCCGATGAGAAACACTCTGTCCCAAGGTCTCCGCCCCCAAGGTCAGCCATCTGGACGCGGAGGCGGGGGAATTGAGTCTGTTGTACCAGACACCAGACCTTGAGAATATGCTGATCTGGAATGGCTCTGTGTCTCATTTGAACCATCCAATAGAAATGACTCTGTACTTTACCTCATTTGAATGACTCTGTGTTTCACCTCATTTGAATGACTCTATACTTCGCCTCATTTGAATAACCCTGTATAGCGCCTCATTTACATTGACCAATGGGAATAGCTCTGTACAATGCCTCATTAGAATTATCCAATAGAATCCCTGCTTCTAGCTTGCGCCTTTTTCCCTATATAAGGACCCCTTTCCCTTGGCCAAATGGACTATGGGACCCATTAAGATGTTACCAAAATCTTACATTGGGGGGAAAAGGCTTCTTAAAACTAGTTTGTAAATGAATAGAGGACAAATAAAATGAACTGATTTGCAACAATAATAGTGGCCAGAGATGTCATACAGAGAAGGCAGAGGCACACAAATGATACTGGAATTTCTAAGGAGTGGAAAGCAGTATGCAGGCTCTTGGGCTGTAAGCATCAGTGAACTGCAGTGGTGGCAGCAGCCATGGCCATGGTTTTTCCTTTGTTCTGAAGAACTGACAAACTCCACACAGAGAACTGGAAGGCAACATTCTCTCTCTCTCTCTCTCTCTCTCTCTCTCTCTCTCTCTCTCACACACACACACACACACACACACTTCCTCATGATTCAGGACACAAAGTGTGGGTCCCCACCTAGCTAGGAAGCAGACATCTGAAAGACGGCCCCATCATGACTTCAGTGTGAAGAACTGTGGAGTATAGAGGAAAGCTGGAGGCGAGTAGGGAGGAGAGAAAGGAAAGGAGGAGGTCCAAGGAGTGTGGGCAGCATCTATAAGCACAGACTCCTGAGCTATGCACATGGTGAGGGAAATGGGAAGGGACCCAGTGAAGGGAGAAGCCCTCCGGTGTCTCCTAATGGAATGTGACTCACCTAAAATCAATGACTGTAATGCAGTCACAGGTCTATGAATATTCGTGTTGACACCCATATTCAGGGTTTGTGATTAAAAAACACTCTAAAAACTTACCTTGACACACCAGGATTTAGAACTGGGGTCTGAATGAGTACTACAAAGGTAGTTAAACATTTTCCCAACTCTAGGGACTCCTGGGTTCCCTGTATGGATTTAAAGGGAATGAGGTGGTTTATACTTCAAGAGTGACCTGTTTATCCCCAAAGGCTGCCACTTGTCAGTCTGTCTGATCCTCACTTTTTTTTTTAATTACTGACAATTTTTGATGTTTAAAGTGAGGTTTGGGGTTTCAGAAGCATTGACTACTCTGTGAACACTGGGGCTTGGCAAGGAATTGCTCTGGACACACTCCAGCCCTTCTCCTTCTGCCCCCTTCCCTCTCCTTGATTCACTACTCTTTACCAAATACCTGCATTTCCAAGTTCAATATGAATTAAGATCCCGCATGAGCGTGGGACTGATTGTTCCAGTGTATATTTATGTGCCTGGGTTCTGCTTTACATCACACTTGGCTGAAAGCCAAGATAAGATCTGGGACTTGGATTAAATCCTGCATTCTTGGAGTCATCTTGCTTTCCAGACATGGCTGGTTAGGCTGTCCATCAGAACTGTCAATCTGTCTCCAAATGGGCTACCCTTCTGAATTTCACCCTGGGCATCCGAATCTTAGGTTAGGAAGATCAAGTGTCTCCCCTGCAATCACAAAGCCCTCTACTTTGTGAGGCTGGGTCAAGATCTCCAAACTAGTTTTGCCTCGTCAGCTGTTAGTTAACCTCTGCTCAGAACGAATAGGGAAAGGCTGCTCTTTCCACAGTGGCCGTGGGAGCAGCACTTTCCCCATTGGCAGCAGTTCGTACTTTCAACATCATTCCACACTTCCAGAAACCTCTGCTGGTGTTCTAAAGAGAGACACTGGCATCTCTTCCAGGTCTGAGACCCAGCACTCTAAGAGTCTTTCTAGTTCAGGTGAAACCCCTAACCCCAGGAATGGTAGGTGCTTCCAGAAATTACCCTCCGAGCTACCTCGGGTTTTCAGTCTTCTACTCCCTGCTTAGTCAATTCCCTCTAGCTCACTGGCTCTCAACCTGTGGGTCAAGACCCCTGGGGGGGGGGGTTCAAACGATCCTTTCATAGGGGTCACATAAGACCATTAGAAAACACAGATATTTATATTATGATTCATAATAGCAGCAAAATCACAGTTATGAAGTAGCAACGAAAATAATTTTATGATTGTGTAGTGGGGGTCACTACAACATGAGAACTGTATTAAAGGGCAGAAGTACTAGGAAGGTTGAGAACCACTGCTCTAGCTGTACTTGCAGCTTGCAACAGAAGGGCTTCGCCTACAGGACAAACTAAAGCACAGATGTGTGTCCATGCCAGCATCTCCCATTCAGTCACTCTGGGGCTGTGGTCTCAGAATTCACCTTGCTGTCGTGTTCCCAGATGATGTGGATGCTGTCCACCTGGGGGGTCCTACCTGAGCCACTGCCCTGCTTTAAGTCTAGAGGGCTAGGGTGAGGGATCAGAGGTTAAGAGCACTGGTCCTGAGTTCCAGCGGTCCTGAGTTCAATTCCCAGTCACCACACTGTGGCTCACAAACATCTGTAGTAAGAGCTGATGCCCTCTTCTGGCGTGCAGGTGTACATGCACATAGAGCACTAGAACCCATAAAATAAATCTTTAAAAAAATTACATCTCTGTTGAAGTCATTTGTAGTTTGTCTACTTCCTAGATGCTCACAGACTCAACCAACTGCCTACCAGTTTGGTTTGGGATGCTTAGTGGGTGACATAATCCCCAAATGCTTAACCCTTGACCTTCCTGCGAGACTGAATTGCTATCTTGGCTTGTGTATCCCACCTTGAGCCTGTACCTTTCTCGCCTCCATTCAAAGCCAGTCCTTTGTCATAGTCCTGCCTGCTGCTCTCTGGTACAGGTTCTCCTGCCTTTATGGACTGCATTGTTAATTTTATCCCCGTATTCTTATTTCTCTCACCTATGGCATGTAGGCGATCCAGTTAGCATCACTTTTCCCAGCTTGCTTTTTAAAGTCAACAAATGCTTCTGAAAATTTTTTTAACTATATACAGAAAGCTTTCATGCTGGCTGCTTTTGCCAGAGATAAACGAGAACTTACTCCTTGGATTGCCCTCATAGACAACTCATTACTGTAATAAAGATATATATATATATATAATATTAGCAGAATCCCTACTGGACAGTGATCCTTTTAGTTGGGTAAATATTTTGGTTAGTAAGGTATGAATGGAAACCAAATAAAACATATGTAAGTGCACACGCACACGTGTGTGTGTGTGTGTGGGTGTGTGTGTGTGTGTGTGTGTGTGT